AAAGTTTTGACAATTAACCAAAATTTCAATACATTTAAAAAAATATTTTTAAGTCGTTAAATTTTAAGTAATTTAAATTGTTGTATTATTTATTACAATTTATAATGCTTTTAAAGTAGTTTAAATATTGTACTATTTATTATGATTTATAACACTTTTTTTTTTTTAAATTTATGTCATATTATGAAATTTGAGAAGTTATTGAAATTTTTATATGATTTTAAAAATATTTTAAATTGTTAGCTATTGTGATTTGTAGTACTTTTTTTTAACATAATTTTGAAAGTAATATTTAGTACTCTATTTGTTCTAATTTATGTGGCAGATGCAGAATTTCAAATATTAACCCTTTTTTATGTCTCTTTAATATATTAAGTTGTTAATTATTGTATTTTTTAGTACATTTTGAACCTAATTTTTTAATACTATATGTTATTTTCCATGTCCCAATTTATGTGGCATTAATTGATAGATTTGTTGGAGTCGAGAGATTTATTTTGTTAATTATTGTAATTTATAGTTTCTTTTTCGTCAATTTCAAACAATATATGTTGTTAATTGATAGATTTTTTGGAGTGGACTATTTTTTTATTAATTATTGTAATTTATTGTTTCTTTTTCGTCAATTTCAAACAATATATGTTTATTATATAATCTATTTTATGTGGTACCAATAGAATTTAGAGAGTCAATTAAATTTTTTATATAAGTTTTAAATAATTAAGCTGTTAATTATTGTAATGTATAGTATTACTTATATTATTTTTAAATATATTTAAATATTATATGTTAGGTTTTTTATCCTAATTTATATGGCATTGATAGAATTTAAAGTGTCAAATAATTGTTAATTATTGTAATAGATAATATGGAGTATTTAAGTCATTTATAGTATAGTAATTAATATATATTATGTAGTATTTAAGTGTTATATTATGGAATTTGAGAAGTTATTGAAATTTTTATATGATTTTAAAAATATTTTAAATTCATAACTATATATTTCAATGTACAAGATTTTGATAAAATAAAATCTTTAAAGTTAAATTATAATGTTTTTGAAATTTAAATTATGAAAACATATATAATGATTTTATAGAAAAAATAATATCATATAAAATTAAATGAAAAGGATAATAAATTCAACTTTTACCATGATAAGGTTGAAAAATATTATTTAAGTGGAAGGAGGTGGGGCCCACTTATATATTTTATATAGTAAGTATTGGACATTTGTAATGATTTTATTGGTACAATGGTAGTAAATCCTAGACTCTTCTAATATATAGTAATATATATCTTAAAAAGTTATTTTCTTTTTCTTTTATCTATGTATATCGATATCTATCTTCTATATCTATATTTTTACTTTAAAAAGCATAAACTCCTAACTTGAAAGTTCAATTACTATAATATCCCTAACTTAGGTTGTGACTTATGAGTTGTGACTTTTCTAATAAGTTGTGACTTTTTTCAAAGGTTGTGATTATTCGATGAGTTGTGACTTTTCCAAAGAGTTGTGACTTTTTCAATAAGTTGTGACTTTTTCAAAGGGTTGTGACTTCTCGAAAAGGTCATAACTTTTTAAATAAGACACAAAAAACACTTGTTCATACTACCCTTTGTTGATTTTAAATAGAGGGACTTTTTTTTTTTTTTTAAGGACATAGTCATAAAGGAGGGACTTCCTCTCATTTTTCAATCACAATCTTTTTTAATCTTCTACTCTTCTTCTTTTTACATTTTTATTTTTTTTTGTATATTTTCTGAATTGGAAATCACGTGTCAAAAAACTAGTAATATAAAAATAACAAAGAGATCTTAATTTCTCGCTTATTTGGGACCATCTAATTCCAATGAACTCTATTTAATTAGGTAGCAGATTGTGATTTGTGCGAGTCGTCGCTTCACACCAAAATGTCTTTAGCTACAACATCATGTTTTAGGATTCCACGAGCCAAAAAAAAATAAAATAATAAATAAATAAATTCTTGAAGAATCAGACGGTCTTGGCTCATTTTATATGATGTAGTTTGACTAGATATAAAGTTAAAAACGAAAGAATGATTTTTGAAATGTGTAGTCTAAAATAAGTAATAGATATTTGACTTGTTATTCATTAAGAGTAAAATGAGTCTTTTAGAATTAAATTGTTACTAAATATATAAATGTGTTACTCTTTTTGTAAACAAATTAAAAGATAATGTGAGTCATATAAATTAGAACAAAGATATTAGTAATTAATTCATTTAACTATTATAAGTGTCCTCTTCAGTCTCATGTTTTTGTATTGGTTATTAATCAACACATGCATGGACAAAATCTTTTTTTTTTTTTTTTAATTTTATGAGTTTTGAAATTTAAAACGATTTCAAATAGGTTAATATCCGAACTAAATATAATATTTGTATATATTTAATAAATTTTTTAATACAATTACATTATAATACATTATTTGAACAAAAAATATTGAGTTCGATTGAACTCATTTTCGAACTTCTAGGCTTTAGCTAGCTCCACCCTAGATACTACAAAAAGTTAGTTATATACTCTCTACATCACCTTTTAGTTGTCATAACTATCTTTTTATAGAGTCAAACGATGAAGATTTTTAACATTTCAAAAAAATTTAAAAAATCATGCTTAATCTGTAAAATAAAAGAAAAGTAAAAAACGATGCACTTTGCCCGCACGCAACAACTAACCGATAAATTGATGCTGTGCCATAATAAAATGCCTGGGCAAGGAAAAATGGTGTTTTTTAAAATGATGGGAACCTCTATATATAGATAATAAATATAACAAGATACCATGATACCAAATCAACTAAAAGTAAAATTTTCTCGGTTTTAATTTGTATGATTGTAATTTATTTTGACATAAAATTTAAAAGGAAAATAATTATTTCTGAAATTTGCGATCTAAAATAAGTCATTATATGACTATATATAAATCATTTCACTAAAGATAAAATAAACATTTTAAAATTAAATTATTACGTAAAAATAAAATTTATAGTCCATCCGTTCCAAACCTACTTTTCTTTTTAGTTTTTTTTTAAAAGAAAGAATTGTTCCTTTTTTTTTGCAACACTTTAATTTTAGCCTTTCATATGACATGTTTAAGCTCACAGAATTAAAGTGTATTTAGGTACATTTGACATATCTTTAATATAAGGACCACAATATTGAAAAATCTTTTTTATTTTTTTAAACTTTGTGTCAAGTTAAACCAAGTCATTATTTTTTAAATGAAGTTTTTTTTAAAAGAATGAACTAAAGAGAATAGTGGATCATATAAACTGCTAGGTAGGAAATAGCTAGTACTCCACTTTCTTTTTAGTCAATTTTGAAAAAAAATAATACATATCTATATTAACTTATTAAGTAACAACTTAACTTTAAAATACTTATTTAACTTAATTTAAGAGGGAATAATAAGCAATCAACCAAAGCATTTGTCTTGACCAATAACAAAGGGTGACACGAGTCTATATTCCCTTACCTTTTTGGTCATCCATGGGGACCCTTTTTAATTATCTCCATACAATAATTGTTCCTTTCTTACTACAGTAGCAATGAGACATCTGTTTGATGATAATAAAGCAGTTTATGTATGGAAGACCCATTCTCCAACCAACTCCTGCCCTATCAAATTAGGATATGTAACGTGGCATCCCCTAAGAATGGAACACTTTCAACCCATAATGCATCATTTGAGTATACACTCTACTGAAATTACGCCGAATATATTGTTATAATGTATGATTCATGTATAGCAATAAAAAGTAAATCAAACTATTAAGGTAGGGGGATGAAATAGAATCATATCATATATATTTTTAAGAAAATGATAATAAATAAATAAATTGCCATGTTACTCCAAGCAATGAATATGCAAAAGGTACAATCATGTAAATTGATGTCACAGAAAACTGACCATCTCAACTTATGCATTGACAATTTGACATATGTTAACTAACTTACCATTTGGACCCATATATCAGTGTGGTTTGATATCCGTATTAAAGTTCGATTATTTTAAATTTGCACCACATAGGGCCTCTTTCATTCGAAATATTTTTTTTTATATTCAAAACTCGAATCCCGAACCTCTACCATAAGGCAACCTTCATTTGGATGTAATTGTGGCGTGTTACCTTGTTTCCCTGTATATATGGCAATCGGTTGATCAACATCATGCTTGCAGAGACTTTGAAGTAATTTGGATAAAATGCCAATTTTAGAGTTTATGTTTTTCCCACGGTTTGAAAATTAAACTCAATTACTTGACAGAATTGACTTCTAATTTATCCGTTGCAATTCCAATTGTATAGCCACTATCTTATCTCCATTTAAAAAATAACAATTACATAAAATATATACTCTATTAAACTATTAGTACCAAATTATATAAACTCCAATTAGATTGTTTTAGCAACCTCAGTGGACCACATTCTGGTACAACAACAGCCATTACCCAAAAATATGGTTCCCACTTCAATCATGTACGTAGAATCAAGATCACAAAAACCCCACAAACTTTCTTTATCAAAATACTTTTTAAACCATGGGCAGACCTTCTCTGGCATATAGAAACATATCTAGGAACGAAAATAAGATACACGTTAATCAAATTCAATAGCTTTTACTCAAATAATATATTTATATTTAAAAAATTATCAAATATGTACGTATAGAAATCAATTCTAAACACTTGAAGTCATCAATCTTAAATTCATAATTCATAAAGTTAAAATCATGACTCTACCTTGACAGGCAAAATGGATCATTATAAAATAAGGATAGTCAATTCGGAGGCAGAGTAGGTTCAACTAATCTTTGTTGTTTTCGGCTAGAATTTTATACAGTATAAGATTAGATTAGAACATATAAATATCATACTTAAACCACTAATATAAGATTGTTTGATTTGCCTCTACGCTAGCTGACTGAAGTAGTTTACACATACCCCAGTGAGATTAAAATACCCATAGAACATTGGAACTTACAAAGTATTTACATATATTACTCACCATAATATTAAACAAAATTGGCTAGAACTGTGATAAAGTAAAACAGTATACTTTTACATGGAGTAATTAACGCTATCGTTACAGTTTAATCATGGCCCTTATTCTCACCTTGCCATGTCCAAACAATATCTTTAAGTGAAGGCCGTACATCTTCTTCGCAGAACTTTTTATACTCTAAGGTGTCTCCAGCAGATTTGGAGAACTCAACAATCGTCACTTCTGGTGCAACTTCGAAAACTTCAGCCATTACTGACAATTTCCCTTTTCGCCCATTCGATGTTCCTTGCATCTTCACCTTGAATTCCTTAGCGCATACAATCTGAAAATTCACCTTCTTGGCTAAAGATTCCAGTTTTGACATGATTGTTGAGGCAGAGCATTTCGATGTGAATAAAGAACCAGATTTCTTCTTACCCTCAAAAAGACTTGACAAATCGAACCCCGAAGACATTGCTGATATGAATTCAAATGCATTGTAAAAAGGTGGAGCTGATTTTGATCTGTTTCCCAAACTTGGTTCTTTGCTTTCCTGTTTCTGATCCGTGTTGTTTTCTTCGATTGAAGAAAAAGAAGACGATCTACTAAATTCTTTGATAAACCAAGGGATCTTTGTTACAGCAGAAATTGTAATTCTTTTTTCTGGATCAGCTACAAGAAGCTTTGAAATCAGTTTCTTGGCTTCAGGGGAAAACCAGGGAGGAAATTCATATTCACCTTTGAAGACTTTTCGATACATCTTCATCAAATTCTCGTGTTTGAATGGTAGAAATCCAGCTAAAAGAACATATAAAATAACCCCACAAGACCAAATATCAGATTTAGCACCATCATACCCTTTTTTCCTCAAAACTTCAGGGGCGACATAAGCTGGAGTTCCACACTGTGTATGAAGCAAACCATCACTCCTTAATTGCTCAGACAAAGCTGATAACCCAAAATCTGAAACCTTCAAGTTTTCATTTTCATCGAGAAGTAAGTTCTCAGGTTTCAAATCGCGGTGAAATACACCGCGACTATGGCAGAAATCAACAGCACTAATCAATTGCTGAAAGTATTTTCTTGCAACATCTTCCTTAAGTTTCCCATTAGCAACTTTGGCGAAAAGCTCACCCCCTTTAACATATTCCATAACTACAAAGATTTTTTGCTTTGTAGCCATAACTTCTTTGATTTCCACGATGTTTGGATGTCGAACTAATCGCATAATAGAAATTTCTCGAATGATTTGCTCCATCATCCCTTCTCTTTTAACATGATCTTTGTTGATTACTTTAATCGCTACGCTTTCAGAGTTTTTGATATCTCTGCTGTAATAAACCTTGGCAAATGTTCCTTGGCCTAATAGCCTCCCCATCTCGTATTTCCCGAATATGATACTTCTCGAACCATCCATTAAATGATCCATTTCTTGCTTCGATTGATCAATTTGATCTTCCATAAAGTAGAAAATTGGTTTAAGCAGATGGAAGAAGTGAGATTTAAAAATGGAATCTTGTTAATTTGAATGGAATATACTTAAGAATGATTTTTGGGATTGGGAAAATGTGAAGTGAAAAAAACAGAGACTCAATAAAAGGAGGGGGAAATTAAGGAAGCTGTGGGCTGTCCGATAGTTATTGGAGGACATAGTTTGGACAGAAGTACAAGGAGCGGCAAAGCCCATAGAATTCGGAAATACTCGCATCGAGATCTGACTAAATTCAAATTTATATTATTTTGTCTATTTTTATTTGTTATGTTGCGCTTTTCAAAAGTTAATTTGATTAATTTTTAAAGTTAATTAAATTATATTAATTTGATGTTTGAACAAAAAAAATTAGATATTCAAAAACTATACGAAAAGTACTATAAATTACAATTTTTTGCATATTAATATGATGAAAAAATATTTCATGAAATATTAGTCATAGTTTTTATAGTTTTACTCTAAAAGAGAAAGACATAATACATAAATATCCTCTTTAACTTAGCTTCATTTCACATTTATGCTCTCCAACTTTGGATATGCACAAATAGACACTTAGTAGGCGTTTGCCCATGCGACACCATATCACGATATGGTATCGTGAGATGGAATCAGCGTTTGGACATGTGATTTTACGCTGATTCCATCTCATGATTCCAAATCATGAGATGCGATTCCATATTCTCCAAAAACCATGATAGGAATTATATGGTAATTCCATATCATTATTTGAGATATTTTAATATAAAAATTGATCCACGAGTTTATATTTTGTTAAAACAACCCCACATTTATATCTACTAACAATTTATTTCATATGTAAATAAAATTTATAATCACATCATTACCGACATAACTTTTATTATTCTCACCAACATATAGTCACTTTAACTCACACCAACCGATTGTTAAAGTGATGAAATATTTATGGTCTATATGAGTATGAAAATATAGTTGCGGATGATATTGACCAACAAATGGCTCGAAGTAACAATGTTGGTTCATCTTCTCGGTCACATGATCGAGAAATGCAAGTTCAACGTAAGGAAATTGTCCGTACTATGTGGGAGGATTATATTAAAGACTAGTACACTACAATTTATGTTCAATTTTTTTTATTAAATTAAAGTTAGATGAAACAATTACTTAAGTGGAGAACAAATAATTTTGTAATAATTTATTATGCGATTTTATAAATTTTTGTTTATTTGATAAGATTGAATAAACAATTGAGACTATTTTAATAATTTTACAACTTGTGAGATTTTTATGTTTATGGAAAAATATACAGCACAAAAATTTTATATCGCATATCCAAACAAAACTTCAATTTCATCTTATGATTCCATATCATGATACCATATCGCATGATCAAACGGGCCCTTAAACTTGTATAAAGTTGAATAAGTAGACACAGAGGCGAATCTGAGATTTTTCGAATATGGGTGCACCAAGAAAAATGTATTAAGTGGGAATTGATCCGAACATGGGTGCACCAAGAAAAATGTATTAGTGGGAATTGATCCTCAATCCTCAATCCTCAAAGTCAAAAGCTCTAACCATGTGGACCAACTAGACTTTTTATAGTACGGGTGCAAGAATATAATATTATACAAATGTTAGAAAATATATACATAAAAATCTAATTTTACGAAGAGCTCACGGGTTCGGGTGCCCTATTTTTTGCACCTAAATTCGCCACTGAGTAGACACATGAGTCTTATGTGAAATAATACACGAAGGACACCACGTAGGATGCAAATTGTCACGTAAGATGCCAAATATGACGTGTGTTTCTATTTGTTCAATTTTATACAAGTTTAAGTGTCTCACCCAAAGTTTGAGGGCATAAATGTGAAGTGAGACTAAGTTAAAGGTCATATTTATGTATTATGCGAAAAAGAAACTATGCCAATTAAAAGTAGATGGAGATAGTATTAAACCATAGGAGATCTCATATTTAAAATTCTAATTTGAAATGTTTTAATAATAATAATAATGGAGTAGAATTTATTATTTCATGATAACTCTAATTAATTAGAAAGATATGTCTATGATTACATGCATACTCCATTATGGAGGAGTATTATCTTGAAAATTTTGGCAATCATATCTCCCGACAAATTAAGAAAAATAATTCATACTAAAGTGTTCAATTATTGTCATTTTAATTATAAGCATTCTTAGTATTTCTTCCTTGTTCTGACGATTGCATACTTTTCTTTTTGTTTTTCTTACAATTAAGTGGGCTCTTGAACAATAATAATAATAAAAGTGATAAGACTTACATGACTTAACATGGATCTGCGGCGAAGACAAATCGCTTGCTTCACTGTTCTATCTTGTTTTGTTATTCATTTTTCTTCGTACAAGACTTTGTATACTAGTCTAGGCGCTAGCATTTATTGAGAGTTGATTAATGTATTACCAATTATGCGCAGATATTCAATAATCCTATAACATTATTTTCCTCAAAACAGATATTCTAGCATATTTTGAGAGTTGACTAATGCATGTCATCTGTGATACACATTTCACTAAAAAAAAAAAGAAACATATATACTCCTTTTGTTTCATATTAACTGAATTTGTGAGACACTACATTATTAAAATTTCGCTCACGAGAAAAGTGAGGTCAAAAGTTCAAAATCAATTACATTCAACGAAAAATGGTGGTGTAAGTAAAACTGTTGTATAGATCATCTCCTTTGACTGTCAATGGGCTTCATAACCCCAATGAGTTGTAGGCTTTTGCCTGCATCATCTGGCCCATATATCCTGTTTGCAGTCCAGATGCCAAGTTTGCAATTTTAGGTAAATTTTGAATGGGCCGAGATGGATTGAAACTGACATGATCCAACTCGTCCAGATAAAGTTTTTATAAGTTAAAAATAATAATAGAAAAATTACATAAATTCTATTTAATTAAGAGTTAATTACATTCTATCTCTATTATTTTTCAAATTAAAAAAATCCTTAAAACTAAAGGATTTCGGATACATCAGTAGACATGCGGATACATAGGTCGTGATACATTGCTATGCAGGAAACCTGTGGATACATAGCTCAAAGATGTATCCGAGAAGGGAGAGATACATCCGAGAGGGATTAGGAATGTAACTGAGAGGGGATAGATATGTATCCAAGAGGAGAGGGATGTATTCAAGAGGGGATAGAGATGTATCAGAAAGGATAAGAATGTATCCGAAAGGGAATTTGTAATTTTTTTAAACGGTAAATGTGTGTTTAGGTAATTTTTCCTAAAATAAATTGATCAGTACGAGGTATAAATATACTAATGTAGGTCATAACCTAATTCGTTAGTTAAAACTACTTTTCTTATGTTTGTTTGTCCTCCTAAAATAATAATAATTATTATGGAAAAACTTATCAAATCAAACTAAAAACAACAATTCTTTTCTCGACAGAGAGAGAAATATAAAAAACAAATTTTAAAGAAAATGCTTTTTCTTCTTTTTACAAAGTGACCAATGTTGACACCCAATTTTGGACCTCTTCAATAGTAATTAATTTCCGAGCTTCTTAAATTCCAAATGATTTGAAATAATTAGCTTTTAGAAAGTTCAAAATATTTTCAAGTCACTTTTAATCAATTTTATAATTTTTATAATTTTTATATAATTTTGTATATAATTAGTATATTTTATAAACATTTCGAAAATCATTTCAAAAATATTTTAATTTTAGTAAGTGTTTTATTAAATTAGTTTAGTTTAAATTATGGTTATAACTTTTGAATCATTAGTTTACAATTGAGTTAATTATTCTATTTTGTTAAAATTAAGAAGCTCGACAATTAATTTTTAATAATTCATCCTATTTTGATTATAGCCGAAGTCACAAATTAAATTCAATTTAGCCATATCTATTTATGATTTTAGCCTATTTTATTCTTTCACATCCTTTCAAATCTTTAATAAACAAAAATATTGGGCCCTCTACTCCTAATTTTTCAGCAACCAAACAACCCATTCCCAAAACCCAACCCATTCAATAACACAACTGCCCCAAATCAGAAACTCATCCCAAACCCAATACAATACTCTAAAAATAGGGAAAGTTACGTAGCTAAGCAAACTTATACTACTTAATTATCTATCATAGCTAATGTTTGTTTATATTACCATTCACAGCCATTTAATTTCGGTAATTACGTTTTTCAATTCTCCTTATTTGTATAACCGTGTATAGCATTCTTTTCCTTATATATAAATGGTTCTATTCTCTCTCTTCAATCACTTTCCCTTATTTTCTCCTTTATTCTCTCAATCAAATTGATTTCAAATTTTGAAATTTTCTCTCATTCCTTCTCAATCGTGATTCCTGATTTATAGGTAATTGTTTTATAGTTAAATTCTCTTTACATTTTATTTTTTGTGATTTCATCATTTTTCGATTTGTATTTATATATCATTGGAATTCTTTTTATTTTTCAGATTTTCAGATTTGTATATCTAAAGATGAAGATGGTGAAACATAATTTGTATAAAATTATTTGTATAAACTTTTGAAGTTTGGATCTACACTATATTTCATATTTTCATACAAATCCATTTTGTATATACGAATTCAATTGTATATTTATGAGGTAAAAGGAAATCTCATTTTAGTTTTTCAAATAAATTACATTTTACTATATTTCTTTGTATTTGAGTTTGGTTTGGGTCAAATCTGTACCCATAGTTGTATAATAATATATTGTATAATTGTTATTCAAATTGTATAATATTATTTGTATAAACCAGGATTTACTGTTGTATATTTTTTTGTTTTCACATCTACTATTAAGGTTTGTTATTTGTATAAATTCATATATTTGTAGACACATTTTCTCTAAAAACTATCCCCTCGATAACGTAGTCAATGTAACAGTTTGCATCATCCCATATTCTAGAATGTATTACCAAAATACAGATGGAAGACATTCCTGTATAGACAGAATTAACTCATGTATACATATACAAACACGAATTCAAAAATATACAAACACACATTCAACAGACAACTTTTTCACAAAATAAATAATGTAAAATTCTACATATACAAAATATACAAGTCAACAATCAAATTATACAAGTCCACAAATCAAATTTATGTCAATTATACAACTACAAAAGTGATTAGTTAACTTATACAAACAACTTTTCCACATAATTATTTACACCCAACAATCAATTATACACATATAAACACTAATCCCATCAAGTCTAATTATACACATACAGACACTAACCCCATCAAGTCTAATTATACACATACAAACACTAACTCATACAATTCTACAAATAACGTAAAATTATACATATACAAAACATACAAGTCTATAAACAATCATTGATGAATATATTTATACATTTACGGACGTATACTATTTGACATAAACTATAGTAGATTATACAATTGAATTCTACTTTTATACATTTACGTACTCAAATTGCATATATCAAGTCGTCTCTCTCGATCAATTCAAATACAACTGAAAATAATTTCTTCAACCAAAACTCCAATTATCAATCGAGTAATTATACAATCAGGGATAAAAAATAGTTAATTCTCGATCTATTAGAATACAATTGCAAACAACTGTTAGAATGAAACTCCAATTATTAATGGAGAATTTATACAATTACATATACAAATCAGTTCTATTGTTCTGTTTTTTCAAGTTCCTCATCTACATGAATGCAAATAAAAAACACGAATCAATGCAAATCAAATATATGTTTCTAGCCGAGAAAACTAAGTTGTCGCCGAGATTGAATTGGATGTACGAAGATGAAATCAATTGGATTGTATGAATAAGATATAGCTTTGTAGGAAAGTCTAACGAGCTAATATTCTCAGAATTAAGAGATTTTATACCTTTTCCTAGTCGAGATTGCCGCCATTAGCTTTCAAAAAAATTGAATTCAATTTTGTATAAAACTTTGAAAAAAAGAGAATTATACAGCCGAATGCCGATCACCGCTATAGCATCTTAAAAATATTGCTACGGTTAGTAATTATGGAAACTTTAGCTAAGGAGAATAATTAATTTAATTATGATAGTTATATGTGAAAGTTACGTGTAAATTTCTAATATGACATATATTATACTAATATTTTCGAGTTATAGCAGTAGATTTAGACTTTCAAGTTATAACATTAAAAATTTCAGGTTGTAACATATTATTAAAAAAAAAACATTTGATTTGAAAAGAAGAAACTGATAAAAAGAAATTAAAATAAAACGTTTAAGAATGAAAAAATGAAAAAAACAGAAATAGGGATGGCTTTTAAATTTGAATTAAATTAAGATAATTATTAATTAGTATGAATTAAGGAATTTCAAACTAATTAAGAATATTCAGTTTCCTTAATTCACTCCAATTTGTTAAAATTAATTTAAAAATAAGATTTTATCCATTTTTCTTTTATGTTTCTCTCTCTTCGTTTTTCTTCCAGAAATTGAGACTGTCGACAATCTGGTTTATTTTTTTTGTTGAAAAAACGTGTTTTTTTTGTGATGGACAACTACGTATCAATATTAATTAAACATGGCGGAAGATGGATTGCTTCAGGTTAGTATTTTTAATTGTTTACTGTTTTTATTTGGATTTCAATGAAATAGTAAAAAAATGAAACTGTAAAGCGTAACTATATTGAATGTGATATATTTTTTTGTATAAACAATACGTTTTGTTGTGAAATTGTAATATTAGTATTTTTTTTTGGTAAGTTTCTGTTTTTTGGTAGTGGTTTAGTGTAATTATAATTAATTTGGTACGAAAGTGTATTCAGTAATGTGAAAAAAAGGTTATTTAGACTTTTGAAGAATTATATGACAGTTGTTTCAAGTTAATATGAAAGTGTGTTAACTAGTTAGTAAAAAAAGTTATTTTGAAGTTTGAATAATTTTGGTATGAGAAATGTATAAATTTTGGTATAAATGATGATTGGATGTATGAATTTTGTATTAAGTAGGTATGAAATCTGTTTTATTTTTTTAAATGAAATATGTTTGTAGTTTAATGTATGAATGATTATTGTATGAAAAAATAATGACAAATGTGTATAATTTTTTATTTATTTATTATGTAAGACTAATTTTAGTTTTTTTAATGAAACAGGGAAATATGTTGATTTTCAGATGGAGGGGATTATATATGATTATTCTAGTCTTTATAGTGGTCTAGTAAGTGCAATAACATCGCAGCTAATGATAGATGCTAATATTCACAATATAGAGATAAAATATATAGTTAGTGATAGATGTCCTCCTGTTAGTATCCACAATGATGTAGGTGTGCGGATTTTTTTAGATCAAAATAAATCTAATGTAGATTTCTTTACGAAATATCCATTGTGCATAACTTTGAAGAATATAGCAATAGATAATCAGGATTCTGTAGTTGTTGTGGATAGGAGACATTCTGATGTTAGTAGAACACTAACTAACTTTGATTTATACTCTAGCAACTCCATCCGCTTGATAGGAGTGAATTTAGATAGAGTTGTCGATGAGAATACTGATGAAGGAAATGGAGTAATCAGTGACCTTTCTAATTTATTTATAGCTGAAAATCAGATTTACAATGATAAAGAAACACTTATGGAGGTTATGCGACATTATGGAGTTGTGGAAAAATTTAGATTTCTTGTGACTCGTTCTAGTTCATCTTGGTAAGGATTTTATTTATTGTTTGATTGTGTATTTATTTTGTAGTGTATTTAGTATATCAGTTTTTGATGGAATTTTTTTGTTTTTTAAACAGTTATTACCTGAAGTGTCCTGCTGATAATTGTTCCTGGATGATGAACTCATCATGTTTGAATCAATCAAAGCTATTTAAAATTAGAAAGTACTGTGCGGAACACACATGTTCCGTTAGAGATAGAGTGTATGCAAGGCGTCAGGGAATAACTGACGTTGTAGCTGTTTTAATAATGGATAAATTTATTAATCCATCGACTGTATACACTCCAAAAGATATATCTGAAGACGTTTTGAAAGTGCATGATGTTGCGCTAACATACATGCAGGCCTGGAGAGCTAAAGAAAAGGCGATAAAATTGGTGCGTGGAGATCCAGCCGAATCATATGCCAAACTTCCAGGTTTTTTTTAGAACTAAATTTTGTATTTTATATTACTGTTTGAATTGGTGTGAATTTTAAAAATGCAACAATCTGGCATGCAATTTGTTTACATACTGAATTCCCAATATCCATTTTGTTTCCTTTCTGTATCCAATTAATATCCATTTTGTATATAATTTGAATATAATTGGTATCTATGTTTTATCCAGCTAGTATATTTGTTGTGTTGTAGTGTTCAGTTATATAATTATAAAATTAATTGAAAAAATTGAAAAAAATTCAAGTTATCTATACATATTGGAGCAGACATATCCTGGTTCGGTTTTAAAATTAGAAAGGACGGAATGTGATAAATTCTTATATGCATTTGTTGCATTAGAAGCATGTATTAGAGGTTGGGAGTATTGTAGGCCAATTGTAGTTGTTGATGGGGGCAGCTTTGAGAGGCACATATGGTGGTACAATGTTGACTGCAAGCACTATGGATCTAGGAGGTATTTTTTTTAATCTTTTACATTTATAATCAACAATAAATTTGTATGATATTTTGTTTTAATTAATGCATCAGGTCACATACTTCCACTTGCTTATGCCATAGTGGATTCTGAGAATGATGCATCATGGACCTGGTTCTTTGAACAGTTTAGGGAAGCATATGGAGAAAGGGATAACATGTGTTTTCTGTCAGAAACGAGCGCATATGGAAAGGGACTGCCGGAGTATATCCTGGATTGGAACATTTTGCTTGCATATGACACTTATGCTGTAATGTTTTGAAGAAGCTATTTTTTACAATGGCAAAGGCTTATACAATACAACAATTTGAGGCGATTATGCAAAGAATAGACCAGATAGACCTAAGAATAAGAGATTATTTATATGATATCGGATATAGCAAGTGGTCAAGGGCGTATTCAAAATGTAAGCGAACATGGACCATGACTTCAAACGTAGCTGAAGCTTTGAATAATGTTAACAGGATAGAAATGAGGTTGCCAGTGATTTCACTTCTTGAATTTATGAGGGTAACAGTTCAAAGATGGATTCATAAGCACAATGAGGAGGCTGCTTAAACTAGATCAGAGCTTACATAAAAATATGATCTTATGCTCCAGAAAAGTATTGCTTTGTCTAGCAGTAAGAGGGTATGATTTTCCATTTATTCTTTATTATTTAAATGTATTCATGTATTAAATTAGTATGATTATTGAATTAATTTTGTATAAATTGCCAATTAGAATAAACAGTACCTTTTTTTGTGACTTGTTTTTTTGTAATAGTATTTTAATGATCAATTTTTTTGTGTGTTAGGTAATACCATCAACAGTTGATATGCATGTTGTTGTTGATGGACCAAAGCGGTACATAGTAAATTTAAACACTAAGATGTGTAGTTGCGGAAGATTTCAAAATGATGAGATACATTGCGGGCATGGAATAGCAGTTCTTAGATACAGAAGACTGCATGAAACAAATTATTGCTCTCCTTTTTATAGCCTGAAGAATTTTCAAGATACATATGCCATCCCTGTTGAACCTATCCCATGTGAGAGTACATGGGATATACTAAGTTATGTTTTAGAGCCTAAATTGATGCCGCCTGGTCCAAATAGAGCAGCAGGAAGACCACAACTAGAACGCTGGAAAGGGTTTGCTGATGTAAAGTTCAAAAGGTCTAAAGTTACTTGTAGTAGATGTCGTCAAGTTGGCCACAACAGGACGACATGTTCAAATTATCCTGTGCAAAAAAATTGATTATTTGTTTTGTCTTTTAGACTCATTTTTTGTTTTGATATAAAACATAATTGGTTTGAAATGCTTTATAACTAAGTGTTTAATATACTGTTCATTTTTTATACGCGATGCATTCTTTAATCATACAAATTGCATACTGTTGAAAATAAAATTTATTTCAATTTAATATATAAGATAGTGTTAATATTAGTGATAATTATACAAGGTAATTATGGAATGCATTTGGTATCCTGAGTAATTAATGTAGTTTATCATGAATATTAATTTGGTTTCCAACTTGTGTCCTACTATAAATGAAATTAAAACAATTTTTATACCAATCTTATTCAGGTGTCATTCAAATACTAACTTCAGTTTATATCAAATCTTTGTATGAATTCATACATACAATATTCCAACAATCAAAACATTAAAGTCAGATGCATACATGTATTAATCAGATTTCATAACATTCCATCCAAAAATATGTTTAGAATATAAAACTGGCATCCCGAAAAATGGTATATTCAATGTGAAATATATAGCCCAAATAGTGAATCCAACTGGTATGAAGTCTGTATATAACTGGCATCCCGATAAATGGTAATTCTTTTGTAGATGATATCTGACTGGAATTAAACATAATTTGTTTGAAATGCATTATAACTAAGTGTTTAATATACTGTTCATTTTTTATACGCGATGCATTCTTTAATCATACAAATTGCATACTGTTGAAAATAAAATTTATTTCAATTTAATATATAAGATAGTGTTAATATTAGTGATAATTATACAAGGTAATTATGGAATGCATTTGGTATCCTGAGTAATTAATGTAGTTTATCATGAATATTAATTTGGTTTCCAACTTGTGTCCTACGATAAATGAAATTAAAACAATTTTTATACCTATCTTATTCAGGTGTCATTCAAATACTAACTTCAGTTTATATCAAATCTTTGTATGAATTCATACATACAATATTCCAACAATCAAAACATTAAAGTCAGATGCATACATGTATTAATCAGATTTCATAACATTCCATCCAAAAATATGTTTAGAATATAAAACTGGCATCCCGAAAAATGGTATATTCAATGTGAAATATATAGCCCAAATAGTGAATCCAACTGGTATGAAGTCTGTATATAACTGGCATCCCGATAAATGGTAATTCTTTCATAGATGATATCTGACTGGAATTAAACATATGGTATTATATATCATCAAATACTTTAACACAAAAAATTGTCCAAAAGTAAAAAAAAAAAAATGTTGTTCTAAAAAAGTTGAAAGTGCAATAGACTATATCTAATTTCTTGTCCGTTGTCTTGGTGTAGGATAGTTGGTGGTATCCGAAACATGTTCTTTTGCTATGTGTGGTCCACCAAATTTGCTAGCAACCATACCAATAACTTCACTCTCACTGATCGCACCATCCTCATTCTTTGTTTTTCCATAATGCCAAAGGATTGTGGCATACATTTGACGATGGTACTTTGCATCGATATCAATAGAATGCATATCAAAAACATCATTACTGATGTATTCAGCAAATAGACATGTGTACAAACCACAGTCACTGAAAAAATGAAAAAAATAAGAAAGAAAAAAAAATTAAGAAATAAATTAATTTAACTTTTTTCTAATGAAATCAGTAAAGTATAGAAATACGTACTTTGAAATATCTTCTTGTTGAGGGGCATGCATCATATGCTTGATATCAAGTGGGTCGGATTGAGACTTGTGTACATATTTAGAGAGTTTATTTGCATACAAATCAAGCCTTTTACCATAAAATCAGTGCTCGTCAAAAATAGTGGTATCATTGTTGCAAGTTTACCAACTGTTTCATTTACTTTCTTGGTGTGAACAGATCCTCCCTTCATCGAGTCGTATACATGTAGACATCTAAGCTTGATTCTGAATACAACCAAAAACCAATGAAATTTCTCACTAATATTGACAGGAATAATGACATTGTCAACATTGTCCCAAGGAATGTTGGCAAGCAGTTTGAAGCCTCTAATGCACTGTCCAACATCATGGTTGGGAGAAATGGATCTCATGTCGCAATTTGACTCTCTCCATTGTTTCTCAATGTTATCAACCCACGTCATAAACCAACAGTCAACCGTACTGTATGATAGTGGTATGGGAAAGTACTTTGCCTTCTTTCGCAAATAATACATAATGGTATTAACATGCTGTTAACATTTAAAAATCCATTAAAAATTGTTTCAAATATATGCAGAATGCATATAAATTTCATTCTACCATCATGTTTAGTGCATTGTTCATGAAAGTTTGTTTTTATTCCAAATTAAATCAAAAATCATATAAAATGCATACATGAACAGTATATACCAAGTTTATTCAGAAATCATTCAATATGCATACAACATGAATATATATATTTTAAACAGAAACTACAAATATAAGTACAAAAATCTGGAATACAAGTTTTCAATTGACTATTTAAAAGGTTGATATATAAGACTTACCCCGTCTTTTCAAGGCCTGCCAAGTTTAATCATTATGTTGAAAAAATCCTTTTCTGCAACTTTGACAACACCAAAGTCCATTTGAGGTTCAAAACTATCTTTGAGCTTTGAATAAGCAGATTTCCTGTAAACAGTAAGAATATATTAAAAACAATGTATACAAATTGATTGGATAATATTGAAAGAAAAAAAATTGCTTTATTTTTTATTTACACATATACTTGCCACGCCTAGATGAGACATCTTTGAAAACCCATTTGTTAAACTCATCGATCAACTCAGTTGCAACCTCAAACCCATTGTGACTTTCAAACGGATGTTTAATACGAAATAAAATAGGAACTCTTCTTGAACTGCTTTCGCCTTCTGACAACCAAATATACGGAGATGTGTCATACTTGCTGGAATTCCTATTTCTTGGTTGCACATTTGGGGTTGTATTAGCGTTGAGAATTGGATCGAGTGCAACAATCTGTGTCATAGTAAAATCCGGATAATCATCCAATGTTGGTGGTTTTGAATTTGATGATCCAGGTATGTCAGCATTAAAAACAACACCAGTTGTTTGGTCATTTGACTTCTGAGCTTCATCTATATATTAAAAAAAAATGTTAAACAAACTTTGAAAGTGAATATACATATCATGATAAAATTGAAATGCGTACCATCTGTGTTTGAAGTATGAACGTATTCCCTCATTGAAACTGAAGGCTGATCCATTGGAGCTTTTTCAGATTCTTCAACATGTTGACGGGCATCATCCTAATGCATGACGTAATATAAAATTCAATCATGAAATAATGCGAAAAACTGTCGCATATAAAATTTATACAAGATTAATTCAAAACAATAACATTTCACTAATGTTGCCTTCACATATTTAATACTGTATTAATACCAAAATTGAACCAAGATAAAAAATTGAACAATAACAGTTAAAACATTATTATTACAGAAAGTTAATAAAAAATTTATAACACCACTGACAAAATTGGAAAATCATACCAATTTAATTCAAATATTAAACAGACAAAAAATGAAAAATATTAAACATGCAGAAACTGTATAAACATTTTGGTCATACCAATTTAATACCAATATTAAACAGACAGAAATTGGAAAATAATGCATAAATTTGGTCATACCAAAATAATACTAACTTAAGTCTAAATTCGTACATCTCATATTTACTTACACATACACACTTCGTATTATGATACACCAACTGTTTCAGTTTTTTAACTTGTAAAACCATTTAATACCTGTTGATGTGTTGCTTGTGATGGTTGACCTCTTGAAGACCTAATCTCCTCAATTATCAACTTTGTCGAATTGTCGACATATGCTTTCATGTCGGTCATGTGCTTGTCAACCTTATCAATAGATGTAGACATATATGTTAAACATGAAAATATTACAGAAACATAATTAATACCAATTAATTGAAAAGGGATTGAAAAATAACATTATCTTTCAGTTCTTTCAACTCCATCCGAACCTGTCATTAAACATTGAAAATGTGGATAAAATCTTTGTAATATGGTAAAAAAAATATTAAATCATAATTTTTAATTGTATACCTCCGCAATTTCCTTTTTCAACTCTACATACTTTTCGTCAAAGTCAACATCGTGCCTTTCTGATGTTTCTTGATCTTCTGTTTCATGTTGACTAGAAGATTGATGCAAATTGATCTGATCCATGGCATTTAACTCTTCGTCAGTAAGCACTATGTTTCTGAATTTATGTTGTGATAACAAAATAAGATGTGAGAACTAAAATTTATAAAAAAAAAATGTAATAACTTATAATTAGTAAATGACAATAACTAAACGATAACCTGGTTGCCATGTGTTCTGAAAATCGTATTCTTTAAGTCATCGAAGAAAATACTCTCATTCGATGTCTTCCAGTTAAGAATACGCGGTGTGACATTTGAAACACGGATAGCAACTGAGTTGTCAAAAGGATGACAACACTCATAAAATCAAATCTGCAATGCTATATGGAATTGACTGAATTTGAATGACGTAGGATTCTTTCCCAACCTACGGCTGCAAGCTGTGAGAGTTAATCTAAAACATTCATTGCCCCATGGGAAGTTGACATATTGACCGGACTTAACCAAATCAAAATACAATTTAGGAATGTTTATTTTTTAGGCCTCCGAACCAGTCAAAAATGAAGTGATGAAGTACAGAATGCCAATTTTGAAGCGGTCTTCAGTCTCAAAAAAGTTAGCATGTTTAAACTTATTGAAGAAGTCTAACTTATGAACTTTTTTCATATCCCCAAAATATTTTAAGATAATTTTATTGGGAATATACGGATCTAAAAAAAATCAGTAAGAAGTCCACATTTAAGACCAGTTATGGCAGCAAATTTCTTGATTCCAAAACGTAATTCTGTACCGTTTATTTTCACAACAAACAAGTCGTCTCTGACATTTTCAGATTCAAGAATCATCAAATGTCGCAATAGTTGACATTGAATCTTTATGTGGTGTATGTCATAAAATACACCAAAAGGTGTTTGGTCGAGAAATTGTTGAAACCTCTCTTGCCCGAGGAAATCCAATAGATCAGCAAAAACATTCATGTTTATACATGAAGACCAGTGTGTGTATATCTTCCTTGCCTATAAAATAAAATTGTTTATACTAAATTAAAACACACTTCATACAAATGTTATTCAAGTTTCATTCCATCAGTAACTATAGTTTTAAAATGTTTATAATTAAATTATATCATATAAATCAAATATAAATCAAAATCATATAAACATTGATAAAAAATAATATAAAATTATGTGGATACAAATATTATTCATGTTTCACACACTTGCATATACATAAAATTTAGTACTGCCTTATGCAATATTTATAAAAAAATTCACATCAAATTTATTCAAACATCATACCAGCTTCATTTGCACTGTTGCATTCATCAATCTATTTTCATAAATTTATCGAAATACGCTAACAATATTTTAACAATTTTAATACATTAATGGATAAATTGAATAATAAACCTTCTTAATAGGAAAAATCCCAATTTCATATTAATATTATTTTAAATTTATACAAAACAGAGTAATTAAATAATTCATACCGTATACAAAATTAATAG